ATCCGCCCTTGCCTGAAGATGATATTTGAGTGCTCCGTACTAACGCTGTTATGTACACACCTCTAGTCGCGCTTTCTGTCCGTGATAATTAGGGTTTGCACTATTACACAGGACTCTCAGCCAAAGGATAATGTCAATGATTTTGACACCGAGAGCTTAAGTACACCTTGTTTTCTAAATTCTTATTTTATAAACAAGAGGTAATAATGGCACCAATGTAGTGAACTGGGACCTGCTTTTTTTTTCTAGGACTGCAGAGGTACCCCATACAATGTTGAAATTAATATGTACGTGTACCTACGCATGACCTGGCGACTCGCGACCAAAGCCATTAATTATACGCTATACCAGATGGAAGTAAGCCCATAGTGTCGAGTCCGTACACAATAGACCTGCCCGAAACTGACATTTTGAACTGACATTTTGATATGCTTGATTTGTTATTTCTAGCTCCTTCCGCGTATCTCTTGGGGGGGGGGGCTTTCTAGAATCTTTATGGCATACATCGCAGCCTGCTTGCAACAACATAACCTAAAAGAGCATCGCTGCCTATAGTATTCAATAGAACAAATGTTGCAATATAATTTATATCAAATTCAATGGCAAACACCTTATGGTAATAATGATAGGTACGAGGTACTTGCCGAGCAGATGCTTTTATTATGGTATTACCGCGTACTGTATACCTGTACTCCGTACGTTTGCGCGGTTTATTAATATGACGGAGCGCAATCCACAAGTCCCAAGTGCGGGAATGATGGTCTCGTTCCATAACGCCGTATTGAATTCTCTAACTCATACAATCGCCCACAAAGATTTGCCTTAAAAGGAAAAAAATAAAAGAACGTGCATAGATATGTCAATAGCAAACGATATAAATGAAATTTTTGAAGGTAAATTGATGAAATAATACGTAAATTTTGAGGAATCAGTGGTAAATAATCTGGTGGACAGTGTAAATACAGGTAATAACCATACGTTTCTCTCGGCCAGTCAGCGAAACCAGCGAAACCGTGCTTGCCTTTCCCTTGCTGTGGCCCCCCTCTCTTTGCTACTACTACGGCCCTCCCCCCTCTACTCTTCTCTTCTCTTACTATCTTCCTACACTACCAACTCCCCATACAAACTCGCTCCCATACAAAAAAAAAAGGTACTGCATATCAACTATACACATCTTTTAAATCGCATTTCCTCCACCACCACCACAACCCTCTTTTTTTTCCCAGTTCTTTTCGTCCTTGGAATCCTTTATTTTCACCTCATTGCTTGTCTCTTTTTTTCCAATTTGCGCCGACCTCGCGGTCGCGCGCAGCATCTCAATCTAAGTTTTTGGCCACTCAACTAACATTGACAAACATTAGTTCTTTTTTTTACAACATATTCTAATTCGTGATCTTCGAATTCATGTGAGTTGGTCTTATCCCTATCATCTCGAAGCTCTGTTTTCCCTCGGTCGCAAGTGGCTTGGTTGCGCGCAACGCGTCTAGCAAACACTCGCGTCTGCCCTTCTCCTCTCTCACCTTCACCCCGATTCCTTTATATTCTATGTCAATTGCGCGTACAAACCTTCACTTGACTCAATTGCATATTTCATTTCTCCCGCAATACACCTGTCCTGGCAAAAACCCTTCGAAATCACATCTAACCTTCAACAGTCATCATGCCTAAGGAAACCACCACCAAGTCCACCCGCAAGGCTGCTGTCGACAAGCGTCAGCGCCGCAAGAAGGGTAAGTCAACATGAAAGTAAGCTGCTTATCATCAGCTTGTACTAATTTACTTAGACCCCAACGCGCCCAAGCGCGGCCTGTCCGCCTACATGTTCTTCGCCAATGACAACCGCGACAAGGTTCGCGAGGAGAACCCCGGCATCAGCTTCGGTCAGTGAATTGATTTCTAAGCTTCCTTGTACATATCTAACATGTCTACAGGCCAGGTTGGCAAGCAGCTTGGTGACAAGTGGAAGGCTCTGAGCGAGACTGACCGCAAGCCCTACGATGATAAGGCTGCCGCTGACAAGAAGCGCTACGAAGAGGAGAAGGCCGCTTTCCTCGCTAAGGCTGAGGAAGAGGACGAGGAAGAGTCCTCTTAAGTGCCCTCTAATCTCACTTCGTCTTTTGCCTCTGGGCGTTTGTGTTTCTCTAATGGTTCTCTGATTTTTTTTCGGACGGTTTCATGCACGGTTTCTGGGTTTGGAGGACGGCTGGGGTTTACTTGCTTCTGAACTGTTCCTCTTTGCTCTTATCGAGGGTATTAAGTTATCAATGGGAAATCTCAACCTTTTAAATTAGTGCCAAGACTTCTTCCAAGTAGCTTGGATCGATCGTAAGAATAGCGAACAAGCGTTGGTAATATCACTTGCTTGTGGGGACGATTCAAAAGCAAGCTTCAGTCTGTTGTGCAAGGGGTTGTTGTGCGCCGTTTTCAGATTGACCTCACTTGAGCTCTGATTTTTGGCGAACCTCGGGGAAGCTTCGGAGCTCTCCAGAGCTGAGCTTTTTTGCCCCACAAATCGGGGGCTTACCGCCTGCGTCATTCACCGCCCCAATAATCCGGGGTCGAAGCTCGAAGCTCGAAGCTTAAGCTTGAGTTTGTTTCAAATGTTGTAAGAATCTTCTAACGTCCTTCCGCTGACCGTGGACCTTTTATTGGAGAGTCCAAATGAGACGAAATGAGGCCGAAGAGGAAATCAAACAAAGATCATCCTGATCGATCACAAGACGTTATCCACTGCAACGCACTATGAGCATACGGATATCTGGAGCTCGGCGTACGTGAAACTCCGACCCCAAACCCTCGAGCCCTCGCATTGAAGGTGCAAAAGTTTGGGCATCGCAAGCGCTTTTTCGGTGGATAGCGTCAACTATATATCCTTAGGGCTAGCGAACGCACGCGCGGTGTGCTTATGCAATATATGCGCGGGTCCGACCATGCGATATACGATATGACACAGTGCGATGATACGCTTGTGTATGACGACACATTACGGATACGATGACCCGCAGCGTGATAGTTATACAGGACGCTTACGATAAGGGCTCACGATAAGACCAGAAGACAGCAGAGCGACAATACGATGGTACGGTTTCACCACGACATCGGGCTCACTGGGATGATCCAGCAATACCGACGCAAAATACTGGGCAAATTTATAAGGAGGCTTGAAGCGGGGAGGCACCGGTGAACAGACAAGCTTTAACGATTTGTTTGCAGAAGGTTAGTGGGCATTACATATCAAAACAGATGGATTGTTGTGCGTTTCGACGATTGCCTCAGCAAGAGCTCGACAGTTGTCATCAAACCCGGTGTGCTCCGGTACATTGACACCCTCTCGCGAATATATTCGCACAGTTCCAATCAGCACCATATGCTAAACCCGGGGCTCGATGCGTTGATAGCTTTCGATGAACTCGTGAATGGAAGCTCCGCCATCGGGGTGGTCCAGCCCATCTTGATATTGCATTGTTGTGTATCTATTCACTCTTGAACGGAGCTTTGCTGGGCTTGTCAACACATAGGGGCGAGCGTTGTGCATTTAGGCCAATCCCGATCTTCTTGTTCCAGTATAGCCTCGATTCGTCGTTTATTGGGGCATACGCACCAACCCGACCAAGACGGTGTGATAGCATGTACGCACCACTCAACGAGCGGCACACAGAGTTGTTTGTACTCTGTCTGACTGGTCTTTCTGTACATACTGGCTGGCTATTCCTCAAGTACTAGTAGTTTTAAAGTTATTGTGAGTAAATCAGATATGAATAACTCCGTTAGATACTGCAGTATCCGTGGATCAGTGTAAATTATATGCGACTATTCATGAAGTTGTTTTGATATATAGAGTCACGCAGCCTATGTGGATTTTCTTTGGAGGGTCGACTTCGTTTAGTATGGTTTCCATAGTGACAGACTTGGCCCGAAACAGCCCTAATAAGCCCATTTATGCGAGTCATGTTAAGATTGTTGTTCTAGCCCGTTCTAAATTCAAGCTTTGCGTACTAATTGTCTCGCGTCTTTCTATGCCTGGGATGCGTGGTGTGTTGTTACACGAATGCAATGCAACCCGGGTAGAGATTCGTGGCCACTATATATCTTATAGTCGGTAGCTGGCTCAGATTCCTAGTACCCTTGATGTGATAGAATTCAATAGTAGAGGAAATTGACGGTGAGAAAGTCCATTCTACTGTGGTCGGGACCCTAAGGTGCCAGTTTAAAATATCTGCTCAGCGACACTATAGACCTCAGGCTGTGGAGTATAAAGATCCGAAAAGGAGCGCATTCAGTCGGAGACTTCGCACTGACTTGAGGCGGATCAATCAAGTAATATTTGCTTCTCCAGTACTCGCGAGTGCTCCATTTTATGTCCTATTCGCTCTGAATTGTTTCCTCGACTTCCATGCAGTATACATTTATCACGCTTACGTGGAATCGACCAAATCCAGGAACTAAGGATTTGTCCTCTACTTCTCTGTACTTGTCCCAAAACTCTGTATCCTATGATTGGTCTACCTGAAGGGCCATAAGACTGAATAGTTCTCCACATTTAGGGCGGAAATACTTTGTGAACCATGGAATCTGAGTCAAAACAGCCGAAGATTGTACCTAGATTATCCTATGTTATCATAAGGGTATAGTTAGATACACCTTCTCTATATCGCTAACAAGCGGTCTATTGTGAACAGCGGGCTGGAGATGACGAAGAGAGGACTCCACCAAGCCCCGCCATTCGCGCGTGAACACGTCAGGTCTTGGACGCAAGGGAGAACGCTGAGAGAGCCTCATGGGCATTCTTTTCCTTTTTTTTCTTTTCTTTATCTCCAGGGATTTTTTTGTCTTTGTTAAATAATCTTAATTGTTCGCATGTGAGCCTATTGGCCTATTTAGTTCCTAATTTTTCCCCCTCGCCCCTCTCCTTTCGATAGCCCTCCCCACCGTATCCCTTCCCCCCTCCTCTCAAAAAGAAAAAACCCCCAACCTTATGGCCTAACCCTCCGGACTATAAGATGGCTCAGGCTCTGCGCGCATCTCGTCAGAGCGCCGACGACGTGGCGGCTGGATTTTGGGTATTCCGAGATCCTCTTCCCGAACACGTGGGCGAGATCACCTCGCTCATGTCCGAGTTATACGCTATCAGCTCGTCCTTGTCCACCTTGGAGCATCTAGCTGAAGATCCCCGAAATCGCCGGTATTTTGATTTAATCAAACCCGATTTGAATGTGGTGCAAGCCAGTTTCACATATACAATCGAGGATATCGGCGATATTTTCCGAGGTCTCGATGGCCCGGATGCTAGTCCAGCAAGATACAAGCGCACATGGGTAATTATGAGCCGGTTCTTTTGGGATCAATCAAACTATACCCTGGCGACCCGCCTAGCCAAGTATAAGACGGTCTTTAAAGAGTTCAATGACTTGGTAAGAGAGTAGGTGCTCCGCAAAAAATTCCAGTAGACAAAGCGCATGCGTATGCTTATCCCTTTGTCCTTATTAGTGGTCACTACACCTCTTCACTTCTTGTGGGTCTCGTCAATGGCTTCAAGACTTTACTCTCCACACAAGATAGCCGGTTTGCTGCTCGCTTTGAAGGCATGACCCTCCGCCCGAATGACTCGCCTACCGGCTTCCGCGCGAGTACCCCGAGCCCGGTGTGGGAGCATCCGGTGAGAGAACGCCCGCTGTGGGAGCGTCCGCAGAGAGAGCGTCCGGTGAGTGACCGGAACACACGACGGCGAAGGTCATACGAGCGCCCTCGACCGCCGCATATGTCTCCTCCGCCGATGTCGCCTTCCTCGGGGACTTCTTCGGATTTCCCGCCGTCTGTACCGGATATCCCGCTCTCACCGCTTACTTCTACATCTGCAACGACGACTACGACGACTACTAGCGACTCGACTAGCCCTGATATTATCAAAGAGCACTGGGCCAAGGATACATTCGGGTCTAGTGGTACGAGCACTCCTCTGCCATCTGTGAGAGAAAGGTGAGTCATAGGCAGCTTGGCTTGCTTTTCGGGATTTGCTAACATATTTGGCAATAGATCACACTGCCGCGGGGAACCTTATCCAGGCATTAAACAGTCAATCAAAGACAAGGGCTTTGAGGAGCTCCTCCAATTGTAAGTTGAGGATATTTAACTCCCTTTGAGCATGTTTTAACTCAGTATAGATCCCTGAATGACGAGACCGATATGCGCGTGTCCTTCTACCTAAGAAGATCAGACTACCGCGTCCGCATCCTTTGCAAAGAACCCCACCGGACAGGTCCTAGTGACTACTACTGCCTGCCGCTTAATTTACTTGAGATCTTGCGGGACGGCTCTTGTCTCCGACTATGTAGGCGGCGGAATCGCGGGACAGAGCTTGTGTTATGGACGCAATTGAAGTTCACCACATTGGAAGGTCAGCAATGTCCATTTGAAAGCCCTGCCTTGACTAATGTAGTAACAAAACTTACAACGTTTATTTTGCAGATCTGGTGCTATTCCATAACACATTCCTTGCCTTGCGCTCCCAGGATGCAGGCCACCCTATCGCAGAAATCTTAGACCATGAGTTGGCACACGAACGTGAACTCTTTGGAGGGTGAGTCAGTCCATACTAAGAGGGAGGACTAAGTGCAGAGTGGCTGACATCTTCTAGCACAATCAAGGAAGATGGGTATACACACGCGCTTCGCATATACAAAGACAGGGTGACAGGAGCTGTAAGACTCCAGTCATCGGTCCACGAGGGCGAGATGAAACAGTATGTCAAGTATCGATTTCACGAACCAAACATTGAATTCTAATAAAATGGACGCAGCACACCTGTCTGGACTGCGTTTGTCACTCACAACCTCGGGAAACGGAGTTGGCTTAAGTCATACGATCCCCGAACGGTGATCGTGCGTGATATCAAGCCCGTGATATTTATGTCTATGGATGATTATAACCCCCCGCAGACATCGCAGGGACATCATGTCCTGGCGTTCGAAAAACCTCGTGGTAAGTGCTTGGACGGAACCCGACCTCGAGTTATTGTTAGACTGATTGGACTTTGATTAGATGCCAGTAATTTCCTGGATATCATGGAGGAACTTGGTTGAGTTATGGTACGGACTGTGGGACTTGCAGTTTATAATTGGAATCTCTGTTCTGACATGATGAGTTATGAGTTATGTTGATATGACTGTGATGATTCAAGATTTCCACTTCATTAATGGTAGTCATTCTCGTTATTAACACCCTGTAATGACCTTGGACAGACCGGCTGGTACCGGTTTTACCTGATGGTAGACCAGGAGGCCTTAGAACGGTCTTAAATACCCAGATGATGGTTACAAAACAGCGTTCGTTCGTCTGGTTTATAGTGAATGGATGTGGGAGGTGCTAGACAAGGATGGTTCAGTGGAAATAGCAGAGCGCGAGATATCCCCGCCAGTGTACGAGCCTCTGGAGGAGTGCACTGAGCATGATGTGTGTTGGATGAACGTGCCTTATGGCAAGGAAAAAGCGCCGGAGTCCACACAACGTGTGGCTTCCTTGACTGGGATATGTATTATTTTCGTCGCCGCAAGATCGAGAGCATATATTGAGGCTCTGGGTCCAGACGGAAATTAACTTTCTACACTTTCAAGTCCTCCATTACCATCTATATTATACAATGAGCTTGACATATCAAGCTAAAGCACTCTACTCTTTGGCATTCTCGGACATGTTGAAATATACCTACAGACGCATAGACTAGGTTCAACCAAACTCGTCTGTTGGAAGTAAAAGTGCAAGTTAACCAATGAGGGGGTATCACACATACAAAAAGAAAACGCAAAGTAGAAATCAGAAAGCAAATTGTCAATCAAAGCGCGTGCAGATGCAATGAAAAGGTCATGAGGCATCGCTTGGCCACCGCGAAACACTATGGAAGAAACCTAGGAAGTGTGCTCCTCCTTTGCAGTGTCTTTGTCCTTTGCAGAGTCGGCGATATCGTCTGGGTCAGGATAAACCATGACCATATATCGCCGCGCCAGTGGGCATTTAGTCCAGTCATACGGAGGGTCGGACTCAGGATACAACCATTTCGTGGGGGGTGGCTTAGGCGGAGGCGTTGCTTTTGGCTTAGGGTTGCGTTCAGCTTCAAGGTCCTCTAGGCGCCATCTTTCCTTATTCTCGTCGTGAATTCTCTGGATCTCTTTGCATCGCCACTGTACATGAGCCTTGCGCTCAGCCATCCGTTCCTCGTCCGTTTTCCGCTTGAATATAGTTTCCTCTCGCAGAATTCGGAGTTCTTCCATCTGCTGCTTGCGCTCCTCTTCGTCGGTGGAAAAGGTATAGAATCCAGTTCCACGATTGCGAACCTCCGTTTCGGCATCATAATGCTTCTTCTCTGGCGGGGTAGGTGAGCGGTCACGACGAGCAGCGAGGTGGGACATCTGCGACGCAATGTTGGCATCGGGATTGAAAGCTTCAGTCTGAATGGCCTCTCCGTAAATTAAGTTGTCGGGACGAGCAGGCCGCCAGCGCTCCTTGGCAGCTCTGCCACCTGCTTCTTCATCCTTAAGGCGAGAAGCTTCGGCGGCTTCGGCGCGAGTGCCACGGCGAGAACGGCCGAATTCGTCTTCGTAGGAAATAATCGACGCATTGTCATCGTCCGACTCATCTTGCTTGAATGGCTCCTCGTTTGCGTGCTTGAGGTCAAAATCAACCAATGCGTCTTTCTCCTTGCGTCGTAGTCGGGCCAGGTAGGCGTCCGGGTCGGATGGATCGACCGGCATGTGATCATCATCACTGTCGCCGGCAAGATGTAGTCCCTTCTTCATATCATCGTAAAGGCGTGCTTTTTCTTGCATGCGGCGTCGAGACCGGCTCAGCGTGTTGGCGTCGACGGAGCCAATGTCCTGGGTGCTTCTGTGGACTTGCTTGACGGCCCTGTTGTCATCTGCGAGATCGGCAGCTGCGCGCTTCTTAGTGCCTTTGTTGTGCTTTGAGAAGATATCTGACTTCTGATTCTTGGAGGGACGGTGGCGCCCGCGTGACGAAGCGGAGGTCACATCTTGGGCGATGAGTGAAGAGAGCTGGGAGGTGAAAGCGAGGTTGGAGGAAGTGGTTTGTTCGGTTTTGTTCTTTTTTGAACGGGGTTGCCCGTAGAGGGAGTCCTGATCAGCAGGCATGATGATGTGAATGGCACGTGTTGCGTAATGTCGAGAAGCAAGTTGCAAGTTCCGCGGAAGTTCTACAACCACTCACTTATCGATAAGGCCAAGGGCCAATATACACACCGCCAAACCTTGGATAACTGCCCTTGATGACTAAGGCCGATGTTCGGGGCAGCCCCGCGCCCCCACTACTCAGGTGAATCGATCGCGTCGTGACTCAATTGATCGTTCTTTTAGTTTTGATCTGATATCGAAGTCCCGGTTGAGAATCGGAAAGTAAACTAATCGAAATAGTCAAGAAAAACCATCAAATCAGCATCATGTCGGCTAGCCCTATCTACCTTGGTGTCATTGGTAAGTGTCCCTCACTACTGAGCTTGGACAGAGTGCGGATTAATTGAGTACTAATGATTTGATGAATTAGGTGTCGGAGGCGTTGGTACTGCCTTCCTCCAACAGCTTGCTCGTCTCCCAAATGCGCCCCAGCTGGTCTTCCTTGCCCGTTCCTCCCAGACCCTCCTTGCTCCGACCCCCGCCTATTCACCGGCCATCCCCGCCGCTGACTGGGCCACAGCTGCCGCTACACCATCTCTGACCAAGAGCGGTGCCCTTCAGGCTGAAGAAATTGCCACATACCTTGCCTCAGCCCCTGGCAGAGCTATTCTGGTCGATAACACTTCCGATATTGCCCTCGCCCGGCAATACCCCACATTCCTCAAGAAGGGCATCTCAGTGGTGACACCCAACAAGAAGGGATTCTCCGATGACCTGTCCTTGTGGAGGGATATCTTCGCCTCTGCAGCTGAGGGCAAGGCTCTCGTGTACCACGAGAGCACTGTGGGCGCCGGCCTGCCCGTGTTGTCGACCTTGAAGGACCTGGTAGCCACCGGTGATGAGGTCACCCGCATTGAGGGTGTGTTCTCTGGCACTCTTTCCTTCCTCTTCAACACCTTCGCCCCTGCATCAGGCTCTTCCGATGCTCAGTGGAGCGCCGTCGTCGCCCAGGCTAAGGAGCTGGGCTACACTGAGCCGGATCCTCGTGACGACCTGAACGGCATGGACGTTGCACGCAAGCTGACCATCCTGGCCCGTATTGCTGGTCTGGAGGTTTCCCGCCCCGACTCTTTTCCTATCGAGTCGCTGATCCCCGCTGAGCTCGCATCTCTGCCTTCATCCGCGGACGGTATTACTCAGTTCATGACCCGTCTTCCTGAGTTTGATGCTCAGATGGCCAACGTCAAGGACACTGCTGAGAAGCAGGGCAAGGTTGTGCGCTATGTTGGTAGCATTGATGTCGCTGCCAAGGCTGTCAAGGTCGGTCTGCAGTACTTCGATAAGGACAGCGCCATTGCTGGTCTGAAGGGCAGTGACAACATCATCAGCTTCTACACCAAGCGCTACGGTGCCAACCCGCTGATTGTTCAGGGTGCCGGTGCTGGTGGTGATGTTACCGCCATGGGTGTTTCGGCCGATCTTATCAAGGTTGTCGAGCGCCTGCGCTAAATGGCTGAGTCCTTGGAAGTGTAAAAAGCAATAAACCCCAAATTTGACAATGCATATAAAGAAACACACCCTTCCTCAGATCCAACACTTGTGTCATATTCTACTATATAATTCATGGATCCCGCACAAACCCCCCGCCTATTTAGTCGTCTAGTCCCTTAGGAAGTCTTTCAATGCTTCTCCCCACACATCTCCCTTCTTATAAGTATGCATTTCTGGCACATTCCCTTTCTTCAAGCCATCGATTGCATTCGCAAGGTCCTCACCAGAACCCTCGTCCTTAATCTGGCTAACCGGATAAACATAAGTGTGGATGGTAAAGACGAGAGCCTTGGACACCGGCAGCCGATGCAACGTCTGGCGCTCACATCGGAGAAGAGTCTTTAGTGGTATCAGCGCTATTCCATCAAACCAACTTGCTCACAGCCGACATACCTGATCAACATTCAATTTTCCGAGCTCAATAGCCTCCTCTGGTTTCCCCGAGACAGCATGTGTTCCACCAAAAGCAGCGAACAGGTCCGTGTCAATAGTAATACTCCAATTGACTCGTTTAACAAATTTCCCAACCTCGATGCGCGCAAAGAACTTGTCCATACTGCGCTCAATCTTCTCCTGGTAACGCGGAACCGGCCCATGAATATCTACTAGACGCAACCCGAGTTTCTTGCGCGTATTGAAGCCAGACGGGAAACAGGTCGCATATGCCTGTAGTACATATCTCGGCTGCATGTCACTATCGGACGAGAGCTCAGGGAGCAGGATCAGGAGATCCTCGTCTACTGTCTGGGACAGGATTTCCAGGGCTTGGATTGCTGGTGTCATTGACAACAGGGTTGTCGGCCAGGTTGCGCCTGTTACCAGGTTTTGGAAGAGCGATCTTTCAGCGTTTAGCTGGAACACGCTCGGATATCGGGTTGGTAGGTATGTTCCCAGCACGAAATTGTATAGTTCGCCAATGGCGGGGCGGATGCGAGCGTCCTCCTCTGGGGTTTGATCGTTGTTGATTGCCACCACGATGTCGTGGTGCTGGTCGAGTACGGATTTGCGGAGAGCAAGTCGGTTCTTGTATGTTTTATCTATCTGGATGAGCTCTGATGGATCGAGGTTCTCAAGTGCTAATATGAATTAGTCTGGATATGGGTTCGAGTGTTGTAATATAACACATTTGTATAAGATTGGACGAGGACGGACTCACCCATGGTCAAGTTATATTTTTCTTTTCCTTTGAATGGCCGAAACTGTAACGGCTCAGTCTCCTCCCAATTGAATCCCTCCAAAGGCGTGATCGGGGATTTCTTATTGTCCGAGCAAGTTGTCTTCGTCCTCACGTATGCATTACCCTTGCGAGATTGTCGCACCCTCCATATGGCAGCACAAAAGCCCACGATAAGAACCCATAACAGGTGTTTGGAGAATATGGGCCATGGCGCATCAATATTTAGTTTGTATAGAGCTTCTGCCATCCTGCCCAAACCACTATGGAGTCGATCTGAGTTATTGAAGTTTACAATTCTCGCTGAACGGAGATTCTTTCAAAACAACTACTTACTCCGCATGAACTCCGCACGAGAAAGGAAACTTGTCTTGGAGACTCGTATTGGAGATTATCTCTCTCCAATTTGACTGGCTAAACTGCCCGTCCATATTTGCCGATTGACTCACAAGGCCGAGATGACCTCGGGACCTGCGGGGTTGGGACTTCAAGATAAGAGGTTTGGGGTATTATTAGATTAGCCACTCACTATTTAGGACATTGTATAATAGATTATACTGACAGTATCGTGCAATCTTACGTAGTACAAGTCATGTACATGATGTACATAAGTCCTCTGTGGAATTGGAATACTCGCAGCGTTGCACGACGATGAAACCCGAGGGCAATAAAAGAATTGTATGGTCGTATAGTCAAAACGACAGAAACCACAGGCGAGGGACAAAGCAATAGCAGAAGATCATAAACATCATCGCTTCAAGGGGACACGGTCATCACATCTGCCCTGAGCTTCTTTGTTTCAAGATCCCATCTCCACTCAAATATGGATTCAATGCTTGGACTACAGGGCTCACGTTCTCCTTACGAGAGTCGTGACCTATCTCCCTCTTGAGCCCTAGAGAATCATCTCGATCTCCCCCTTCGCTATCGCCAGTATCCGTCTCCACGCCGCGCAATCCAAATGCCCTCCGTTGCCCGCCCGGACGTTCATTCAAGCTCGGGGCGCGAGGACGCTGTCGACCACGTGCTCTTCCACCAATCCAGGGGATTTCCCAAAGAATCAAACGATATATCCAGATTGTTGCATCTAGGAGTATGAGGAAGGCCCAGGGGCCAATGGTGATGAGACCGAGGAGGAACTGCGGAATCCGGGGTAGATCAGCGGCTGCGTCATCGAGAATGGGCCAAGGACTACAGTCGGAGAAAAGAAAAGGGGAAGCTCACGAAGACACGAGCTGCCCAGCTCTCAAGATGGGTAAGCTCCGACGGAAGGATGGAATACCACGCCATTTTGGTGTGGATTTGGAGTGCTGGTGAACCTCGGGAGGCTACGGTTGCTGGTGCTTTGCGCTATGACTCGGTCCACCCGTGCTTGCTGACAGCTCCGTTTTCACAGTTGCTTCATTTTTCGAGCTCAGCTCAGCCTTTCAGGTTCTCAGTTAGCAAATGAAATGGAAATGTAGAGAATCAAATTGCACTGGCGCAACTTCGATTCAACGATGCAAGTACTTCGATTTGATTGGCTGGAACCTGAATACCGTGGACACGTGAGGTATATCGCCTGACAGTTCAGGTGTCTATCCGCCTCGTTACGATTCTTAGCATCTTCCAGTCTTTTCTTAGTACATTAACTCAATCTGGCTGACCTCTGTCATTTCGGGTTACCTAGGTATACCGTGTCTCATCCGGCTTATCGTGCTTTCTACGATCCCGTTATTCGGACGCCGACGTTGCATTTTCTGGGGAGTATGGATACCATCGTTAATGAGACTGCGTCGGTGAAGTTGGTACGAAGCTGTCAGGAGTTGGGGAGGAAAAGAAATAGATGGTTATCTGGCACTCGGGTGGACATAGGGTTCCAAGTGGGAAGCGAGAACTCGCTGCTGTTGCACATTTCATCAAATCCAGCATGAGCTGAGAAAACATCATAATTCATTTAATGCTTCGGTATCTGCCCTCATCCTAGACATAGCAGTGGACGAATTACTGTTCGACAGCTGGGTTCAATGGGTTCGTAAAGTGCTTGCTGCCACTATGTAATTGGACCTGGGATCTTCTAAGGATGCTGTAAATTAAGAGCTGGACTAGTGATCGAGAACCATTGGATTTGGAAAAGTTTGATAATTTGATATTATGACGTTTAATCTGTCCATTCATGTGTACATGGTGTGTCCATATGCCGCTTGAGCAGACAAAAAGTTTTAAATCGTGACCTTCGTGTTTAGAAATGACGCTGAGATCCCCCCGAAATGTTGCTCGCCAAGTTAGAATACAGAAAAAGCTACACAAATGCAGATGTTGGCCCAAAAGGCCTGGTATGAACACATCACAGCCTACCGCTGTGGACGGTACGTGTCGTAGGAGGTGTACGATGGCTCGTCGTCCTGGCCGACAGGCCCATAACCATGCCAGCGAGCGAGCGGATTCGTGATATCCGTCTGCGCAGGAACCTGTGCATGGCTGAGTAATCTCGATTCCGCCTCGTCTGTGTTTGAGTATGCACCTGGTACGGAAGTGCCACTGTCGCCCCGCGATAGCGGCACACGGAAGGCCGGGTGAACCAGTCCTGTCGGGTCTTGGTGTCCGTAACCATTGTGCATATGCAGCGGTGGTATTGATGGTAGAGAGGGCGCCGGTGATGAGGCACGAGATGAGCCGGGAGACCACTCGTCTCTTAGAGTGCTGCGGGGTGTGTGCGAGCGCTCTGTCATCAGGTCCTCGGGCCGGCCGTAGATGCCGCCTCCGAACTCGTCTCGGAAGTCTGCTCGATCTTTGTAATATGAGAAATCTAGATGGTTCTCCGGGACGACCTCGAATGGCGCGGGTTCGGCAGACTTTCCGGGCTGGGATGCGAGCATCGGGTTCATTGCGATGTCTGAGTACTCGCCGCTCATTTCTCCCTGGTCCAGACGACCTTGGTAGATGTCCTTTAGTGCCTCAGCTGCCTTGGCGTGCACCATAGGTGTCAGAAGTGGTTTGTAAAGGGCAGGGTGTCCGAACTTGGCTTTCAGACGGTCTGACGCCTTCTTGTCGGAAGTGCTCGCGCCCAAGGCCTCAGCATCGGTTAGATTTGCGCGATTGTAAAACTCGCAATCAGAGTCGAACGTCTTCATGCAATAGATCTTGAACCCAATCATCAAGAAAGGCAGGGGTATCACGCAGAACACCATGTTCCACGTGCCGCTCGACTTGGCAACGAGAGCGATGATCACGTTGGCAAGAATGGTAGCGAAGATCAGGCGATTGAACAGAACCCGCCAAAACGCGCCACCGGACTCATTCTTGGTCACAAACACGTACATCAATAGATACTTCTTCAACATGGCATCCACACCAAAGTACAAGGCCGTCACCGGCAGTACAATGGGTTGCAACGTAGCAAAACAAAAAGCCACCGTGGCATAGAAGAGGAAGTAGTTGTAGTAACTGGCGTAGTCGAATGGTGGCGGTGCGGTCCACTCAATTGCCTGCCGGGGCGTGGGTGAGAGGAACGTCTTGGCGAACCAGACCCAAGCCATAGTAACCAGCTGCACAAGATCAATAGCAGCGCCGAGATTACGCTGCAAAAGATATGTCACCCAAAACGGCGAGACAGTGCATAAAGCGCTCACCAACTTGGCATACATCCGGCTTTCCAAGATGGCTTGCCAAGCGTCTTCGTGGTTGTTGGTCTTGTCTATCACAAACGACACGAAGTACCAAGCAGCCGAGAAGAGCGAGAAGACGATCAGATTGTTGAACACGAAGAACGCATACAGATGTCCCAGCACGTGGCGCTCTCGAGATGTTTTCGTCTTGCTGCCACCTTTAATCGAAAGTCGACGGAAGATGATCGGAAGCGCCAGATACACGAGCGAAGTCAGTGCAGGCGACGCAATACCCTGGACAGCAGCCCAAACGTTTGGGTTCCCTGACAGCGAGGTCTGGAACGCCGGCCATACCAAACCCAGATTTGACAGGTTGGACAAGAAAATGGCAATCAGACCGTTAGGAACAATCCACACAAGTGTCAAGCATGTCACCCAGATAAAATTGACCAATCGCTTCCACTTGCGTGCTGATTTGGTAAGTGGCAGGTTTTCCCAGATGATATCGCTGGGCCGCGGCGCAAGAGCAATAGTGGTGCCATCGGGGCGCTTGCGGCGAGCGTTCCATGCTACAGCATGAGCGTGCTCGATATTGTCCCAGCTGGCAAAGCCGTAGGGCATCGCGTTTCGGCGATCAATCGACGCCCGTCCGTGCTTGATTTCCTCTTCCAAAACGCGAATCCGGACGGATAGATAATCGATCGCGTCCACTCTGCCGCCGGGGTGTTGGTTGCGTTGTCGACGAGGGGGGCGTAGCGTAGGTCTCTTCGCAGGCAATCGGTCCGGGTTCTTGAGGTACTTGGCCAAAACGGATTCCAGTTCTCGGACAACCTCTTCATGTTCTTTGATGATCCGGGGCAGATCCCTGACGTTTCGGCCAATGGCAGCTCGCGGGAGGGCCGCGGTGGGATTGACCTGGTCGGTCAGTCGCAGGATACCTTCGTCGGTACGGTCATTGGGAGGGATGTCCGTGATCATCAAGGTTCGGGCATGTAGACTGCGCTGATATTCAGAGCTCTGAAAGTATTGCCTCCGCAGATTCCGTACAACGCGATAGTTCCTCCACAAAAAGTAAACAATAATGAGATCAAAAGCCCAGGCGCATACAACCTGACTCCAAATAGCCGTAGGATTGGTGATGTTGAGGGGGGTCATCAAGTTGAAGGCGGAAGACGCCGATTTGTCACTAGGACTCCTGCTCTGTGTGACATTGACCGGTATCATGACGAGGCAGCCGATTATGCTGAGAAAGATGAAGATGTTGCGGCACATTTTTGTAAAGCGAAGGAAGATTGCGGCGTCCAGGCCGACTGTCTCGATCAACTGCGCTTCCCGTGTATTGATCACCGGTTTGACCCAGGCGAAGAAGCCCTTGCCCACCGGGGGCGGAGTGTGTTTGAGGTCCGCATGCTTGACTTTGGGGGCATAGACAAGCGAGTGACGGGGTCGGACAAGGGAGAAGAGAAGGGCGAGGAGGACAGTGACGCCGATCGAGGTGCCTAGCGAGGCCCAAATAGCAGTAACTGTAAACTGTGACTTGTCAGCGTGATGTCCTCTCTTCCAAAACAACTTAAAAACTTACTGCAGAGCGAAATGGATTGGCGATAAGCTGGAGGAAAGTATCCGTTGGATCTGCGCGGGCATGCAAACTCAAATGATGTAGATCCATTACGTCAAGGCAGAAACGAGTGATCCGGCATGAACGAGGGGCCGGAGGAGATCAAGAGCCCATGAAGATGAAAGAGAATGGATTAAAAGCGAAGTCTGGAAAAGCGAGTGAGCGGAATGTGAGACAAAAGATAATAATGCACGAATGAAAGGAAAAAAGGTGGACTCCGTCTAGACTTGATTTAGTTATTATTAGAAGTCGGGTCAATGGGGTTATTGGCCTCTTGGCTGGCTTAGCGTCCGTGATCACCGTTGAGGAAAATGGAGCCAGCCACTTTTCCTCAGAGATTGAAGCCCTATACTCCGTAGTACTCCGTAGAGTACTCCGTCAATTCGATGTTCCCACGGCTCTGGAAATCAGATTTCGCGTCAACATAAGTTCCCCTGTGGCACCCTGACACGTTTCAAGTGTTGATCCATCGACTGTTGTATCATTGGCAGTCCAGCAGCCTGAGTCAAGTGGCCCACCAATCAGTTGCCCAAAGTAGAGAAGTCTGGAACATTGCGATTGTTGGATCCAAGGTAGCACTGAACCCCATGTAGGGACGTTATGCCAGGTACGTCGTGCCACTTCCAAGGTCACGAGTTCTCTAGACCTGACCAAGTCTGAGGAGTTAGTCTCTGCTTGTTGCCTGAGGCCATCATTGATGCCTGAAAACACCCCCATGAATACTTCACTTCATACATAATAATTTATGGATAATTCTCTCACACCTTTGACATTTACAAGATATATAAATGGACGGCTGTGGCAATTTAATGTAGCCTCTCAAGGTCAATCTAACAGCTGTGGTTTACCACTCGATTTCCTCCCTACCAAACGTTCCATTAAGATTGCAAGGCTAGTTATTCTGTCAGCAACGGAGACAAATATGCCCGCTAGAAACCTTGGTGAAATACGAAATGCTGCCCTTTAAAATTCCAGGGTACTGTGGTAAGGGCCACGAGGCTCCCGTGCAGCCAAGAATGTTGACGACTTTCGAGACCCCGTGCATGATGTTTTGCACTTGAAGCTTGAGGTCATATCCGGACCCTTCTCGTCGCATGAGCGGATGGTCGACTGTGACTTTAGGACGTGACCACAGGTATACGATATCATGTTATAACACGTCGTGTAGGGGAGTAGTAGCCCTGGAGGAGGTATGGCATTAGCTAACTATAAGTAAGATAACAAGTTATTTACTTAGAACATTGCAATAAGGGAGCTGCCGGACATACTCGAGCCCTAATAAATATATTTCTTGTCGGTAGGTTTAAATTGGATGCAAGAGATTTGAGGATTGAATCTAAAAAGGAGTGGACGGGTTCCTTCCCGTTTATATATTCAATCATATGACGATTTAGAAGGACTAGGCATAATTAGCAGATAGTCATATGCCTTTGTCAGTTCGTTTGCTTCCCAATTGGAGCCAGTTATTACCGACACTCTTTCCAAGGTTCCAATACACAGTCAATTAACTAAGCATCAACCGTCGCAGAAGACCTTGGTTTTCAACAGCTACGCGCTCGGCCTCTGAGATTTGGGTGCAAGCAACTCATCAATATAATGGTCGAATAAATCCTCTGGCATCTCTAGCATGATATTCAGTCACCGTTAGTGTCCGTAGGGCGTCTTACCACACCAAACACTACCAAATAGGAGATCACCTCCATAGCGAGCTAGCCAGCCAATCAGCTAGGAGAAAGAATGGGCCAATCAAGCCTTTGCAATACGTAATAAGGCAAAAGCCCATGCGGAGCTCTCTTCATACGGACCCCTCGTTTTGATTTCGGAGCGCGTATTCCAGGCTATAAAGTGAGAAGACCAAATTGATTCCCAATTTACCTGGTCCCTCTTATATAAATATTCGGAATGGTTTCCGATGGCGTGGCTGACACTAACAAGAGCTCGGTTCTAAGCCGAGTGTTTTCTTTCCAATATCAGATTGAAATTTCAAGTCTTGTATTTCTGAGCTGAACATAATATACAGGTCCAATTGCGGCAAACCAATTTTTTTTTTAAAAAAAAATCAGAGAACGTGGACGTACAGAGCAGCAACCAGAAGAGACCGTGGACTAACAACGGAAAAAAAGTAATAAACTCGGCGGCAATTTGAAACAAGCTGTCACTCCTCCAGCACGAAGGCGAATGGTAAAGCTCCATCATCACAGAGATACTATATTCCCTGTCTCAAACGTATATTCTGCGAATAATACACAGATTAAGCGCCCCTTAACTTGATTCTATTCTTAGAGGAGATGCAGACTGGTTTGGATAAGTTCAACGAAGCAGTGGATGGCGAGGAGGGAGGTCCCTTTTGACTCGACGACATTGTGATTGTATTCGACGCGAAGCAAATGTTGAAGGGAATATATCGGGAAAATTTCCTTCCTTCGTATTGGATAGCAAGGAATCTAGTACACCATTTGTCATTGAAAAACGTACAGTATTGGGACAGAAAGTCCTCGATGGGAAGTGATGGTGGTCGGTGAAATGGGTCCCTTAGCTGCACGTGATATCACGGCGAGTCCGGCTCGGACCGGGCCGGCGGAAGTTTCTGCCGGCAAACCGGGCATAAGCCTGTGATATCAGTCCTTTACAATGTATGGATCAATTTAGGCGTTGGTATTAGCGGAGTGCGAATATACTTGAATATATGCTTCGTTTTAGGCTACAGCTGGTATGTTCTTATTCCGTCATGCTTTTCTGACGACCGTACTCCAGTATACTTGGATTGCACCAGAGCTTCTTCCCGGATATCGGTCCGAAGATAACCTCGTCACCTCTGACCACGGCCGTTGCCCATCACTTCTTGACTCCAGCTGAAGATCCACCTCTTCCGAAGACCACTGCAAGCGCCTCCTGGGATTTTGCTCGGCATTCAATCGAGATGATATTCCTCCTCAACAGACGGACATAGGATCCCTGGTAGTATGTATGAGCGGACATTAATTATTAACGCAGCATCTGGTGTCAGCGATACAGGCTGGATCTTGTTTGAGAGTGACCTGGTATGTGTAGCCAGAGATTCGACCACCATATGCTATTGTCAAATCGTTGACGTACCTGTTGACATTTGATAGCCATGGAAGTATACTGCTTTTCTGCTGTTCAACTCTATCACGGAGTAACAGAACATCCTTGCGCTTGTGCACAGCGCGAACTGCATCCCAGTTTCGTCTAAGGGGACCAGTACCATCCTCACTGCGGATACTCTGGAGAAGGCCGACAAGTTCCTCCATAGCAAGCATGTAATCAGCTAATATTTGGTTGATAGGCATTTCGAAGTGGATGTCCCTGGTGGATCGGCCTGAAAAGTCGCATGGCTGGACTTTATGTAAGCTATTTCGATCTGTTGGTCGATGTCAAGTTTCAGCCTGTGGGGCTTGTCTGGCACACTTAACCCCAGAGACACTCGAACTGCAACGTCCGAAAACTGGACCCCTGCAGCTGCGATCCCCAAGATTTTAGCCATTTCGGTCCAGTGAAAGAATCACTGTTCGATAAATTTCAACTACTCTAGTAAAAAATGCGTTAGAGCCATTTCTCAGCGAGGCGGCCTGGCTTCTTAAAGTAGAGGTTATATCTCTGACATGCATTGTCAACCATTTGGGCTGCTTTGTGGTGTTACGTGGTCGGTGATAATTGGTAGTCATATGTCAAACTAAGGCTGTGCTGTGGCGATGACTGCAAGGCTCAGAAATGGGGTCTATAGAGTGTTCGCGACAAGCAAAATGCGAAATCGAAACTTACCTACGGAGTAGGTAACCTGGCGTTTAATTAAAGGCACTGATTGGTCCACGTGGGTTCGAGGTCACCCCGCTAAGAGGACCTGAGAGCCTACGTAGAGCAAAGCGATGTTGTGTCACAAAAGCCCTATGAATGGAAAGTAATTAGAGTATAGTGGACGAGTAGACCCGTAGGTCGGGTACAGGTTGGTGGGTTGGTGAATAGTTAACCTCTCCGTTGTTATCTCTATAGCCTTTGTTATCCGTATATTACTCTTCCTTCTCTTCTATAAGCGCGTTCCGAATGATTTTAGTTTGCCAATTAAGCTTAAACCTAAAAACCTTGGAAATCATCTTTGTTTGATCATCTCCTCTGTATATCTTCCGAACAGTGTATGTCAATGTGTGCTTGATAGTTTGATACTAAAAAGTCTACGGTTTTACGATTTACAGCTCTGTCTATTACCGTTGTTAAGTAGTGGTATTATTCGCTGTTTACATCGTCAAATCATCAAAAGACAGAAATTCCGCCTAGACGGTGTACAGAACAAGTAGCTCGTGGAGTTCCAGCACTTTAGTTCTTGGCAGCCTCTGGGATATTGTTAGCACTTAGTCTTAAAGCAGCTTTGTTCAATGGTTCAGCTTACCCTTGTGGACATCGGCCTTGGTGTTGTGGGTGAACTCGTCCTTCTTGTCGGAAAAAGCATCCTTGGCAGCGCTGGCGCGGGTAGAGATGTCAGCATCACTGTTCTTAGCGACGCTCTTGTTGGCCTCCTTGGAAGCCTCGGCTCCAGTCCCCTGTATGGTCTCAGCGACGTAGTTAACGGCTTGCTATAATTCACGGTCAGTCAATGATAGCGCAAGTAACAGAGTTGGGTTGATCACGAACCTTGGCGGTCTCCATCGTGAATTTGAGAGTTGGAAAATGTAGATTGTTAGAAAGAGTTGCTTGAGATATTGTAAGATGGGCTGTGTTGAAGGGCAATTGAGCTTCTAGGGAAGTAGAAGGGATATTTATATTGTTCTGGGGTCCAACCTGGGCAGGGACAATGGCGTCATGACGTCATTGATGAAAGGGGAACAGCCCAGTTTCCAACCTCATGTCACAGACATCGCCAAGTTTTACCCACATTCAAGGCATAGAAATCTTGGAAGCTTGGTGGCTGTAACCCCAGCTCCATCCACAGTTTATGGTTTCTACCCTTTCTAACCTTTCTGACATCACCTATAGATCTACATTGCACTGCACGCTGAACATGATTTGCAGCTGACATAGACAAAGCCTGCTTGTACGTTCCATTTCTCTTCCATAGCGCATTCTCCAATTGAAAGGACATTCCACACATCCTCGGATATTCGACTGGCTAAACTGTTCCCGGACCCACCAAACTGGCTGTATGACGTATGGACGCTTTTACCCTAACAATGCAACACAGAATAGTTGGCCAGAGTAGTCTAGAGGTTCCATGGAACATTATGTTGTCATGATCATGGCCTGTGAACCTCGGCAGAAGAAACGACGTTTGGTACGCACCTAACTTACGATTGAGGTAGATGGAAACTAATGTTGTGTACAGAGCAAACAGTACCTATATACCTAACAATTACATTCAAGACTTATTTTATTTTGTTCTTTATCGTTCTAAGGATAGAAGAAAGGTGTCATACGTGCTCATTCAAAGACCATTTACTTTCAGAGATCTTGTTTCAAAAGTAGACCCGTCACTAACAAAGCCTAGATCACCCACGATGAGGCCAACTTCCAAGGTTAGCATACATGGCTGTGGGGTTGAACACTGATTTTGATGCGTACAATGCTCACACTATTCCATGCATGGAGCTGTCTGGTCCATGCAGGTCATACATTATTAGATACAAAGTAGCCCCAAGCCTTTTATCTGGGCCTATGACATAGTTCATCTTCCAGCGCCTTTAAAACGTCCAGCGAGTTAGAATTCCCGGTATTTGAATCCACCAATGAGAAGGAAACATGAACTTCAATTCCCAATATTTTCATCCGAGTCTCATAATACAAGAATCCTAATGCATATTGGAGAGTCTGAACACTTCAATGATCTAGTCAACTTAAGTTAAAACACAGACAATAATATTTTCACTTGTTTCTCCTACCCTGCTTACCTTCACAAAATACATTTTATAAGGAATAGAATTCCTAGACGGGTTGTGCTCACGCGATAACGGTTGGTCTCGCATCAAAGCTCGCGCCAATTCTATTGGCATACAATTCTCCTTCAAAAACGAGTCGTGAAGTTTCTTATCAGCAATATGCCCAGTCTCCACAGTCTCTTTTTGAAGTGCATATATTTGTAACGCACCCAGCGTATACCCGGCCTGATATAACGGCGAATAATCGCCATTCAATGATCGTCTCACTTCCCCTTCTGCCGTGGCACCTTTGTGTCCAACTTCATCGACGAGTATATCAATGCACTCCTGACGAGCCATCTGACCAAGATGAAACTTGATGGAGAATATAATCCGGGCGCATCGATGAAGCCGCGAAAACAGCATCCCAATCCGGTCCTGCGGCGTCTTTTTGAACCTTTCGTCATTCCACAGAATGAACTCCCAGTACAGTGCCCATCCTTCTGTCCAAAACTGGGTGTCGAATAGGCGGCGGTAGGGTATTCTCCCTCCGGTATCATGGCAGCAGTTCAAAAGCTAAGCGAATTGATATATACATTTATTAGTATTATCGATCACACACTAGATGATATTGAAAGTCTCTGTCATCTAGATAGCGGTCATGATCGACGCGTTCCGTGTTACGGACTTGAACCGTTGGAAATTGTGCCTCTAGAAATCCTTCAAATGATCGTTCTACGGCTCGATATTCGATCAATGACTCATTTCCGACGCGTCAACAGACAAGCAAGGCTGGTCGTAGATCAGATCCCACAATACAAACAAATCATTGTGCACATGCTAGCCTCGATCCGAGGATGTCTCAGCACCAGAACTGGATTTTCTTTTTCATGCCAAGATCTATATGATAAGCTGCGCACAGCTGATTGTGACAGCTGTGGTGACTTTGGTGGTTACCTATACCTAGTCACCTGTCGTCGCGTTTGTTTTCTCTGCTTTACCGAGAAGACCGACTAGTTACCTACCACTCCTACGAAGCGACGTGATCCGGAAATTTGGACTTCGATCAGAACATCTAGCAAAACTTCCTTCTTTCAAGAGTGTTCCTGGTCGCTATTCATCCCGAGGAATCAAATGCCGCTGTCGACTTACTTTATTTGATCATTCTGCTGCATGAGGCAGGAATCGTTGTGCACGGGGACAGCAGTCCAATGAAGCAATACGCATCAGAGAGTCTTACCAAGAAACTCGAAATCCATCAATCTCGAAAGGCGACATCCACTGGTGGAGCGAAACCGCGACTGCCTAGGTCTGACGACTCGTTTGACGGGTTTTCATCTAATCCGCTGCGTTTATGGGAATTATTCGAGCGCCAGTTCTTGATGCTCGCATGGCAGATCCGCAATGGGGGTTTCATTGTATGGCTTGCAAACCTCATCATTACGGCCGTCCACTACACTGGCGCCGAAAATTTACGAAGGAGAGCTACCGAGATCATATTAGAGAGTGCGGAGAGCTCATTGACGGCAAGCATAAGCCTGAGTGAACTGATGGAAAATGAAAAGTTGATTTCAGAGTTGACTTGAAGATTACCATCGCAGTAGCTGCAGAGCCTGACGTGTGATGACTACTGGAGGGTTATTGCTGACTTGAATACCAGATTCCGACTTGCACGATTCTCGGCATCACCAATATTATGCTTTGTACGTGCGGTGTCGAGCCTCTTGTGTGTGCAACGCTAACTCGTATAGCGCTTAATATTCTATCACCATTTCTGCCAGGTTTCATAATTCCAGGAAATGGTATTCAAAGTCTCTAGCACCATCACCTTGGGACAAGCGTATGTAAGGATACAAGGTACCTGTGGGCCCTAACCTCGGGATATTTATAGTACCTTGGCCCACGTGACCGTGGCTGATGGCCGTTAGTAGTTCCCCACGGTTGCAAGTAGCCAGGTGGTGACGTGGTCACAGTAGCATTTATATGCGTGTCAATAGTATTTCCTGAAAAATAAACAGACCTAAAAGAATTTAAAGAATTTGTACAAAAAAGGGGCATAATCGGGGGGGTGAAACCCAGCCTCAAACAGAATTCGGGTATCAACTCGAGAGCTTAGTTGCAACCTTGGATGCGTCGCCCCTAGACGATCTCCGCATCCCAACCTCCTCTTACTCTTAACCACCCCTCCGTCTTCGTTCTTTTAGTATCATCATATTTCATCGCATTCGCATTACGGGGTTTGTTTCATCCCGTGACACAGTCCTCGCACCGCCTCAACTGCGCTCGGGGCCGAGCCCTGGCTGCGGCTTCCCTCATCCCTCCCCGCTCATTCCTTTGACCGCTCCAAACCCCTCAAGGGGAACCAGCCACGATGTCAGTGCCGACGACTAAAACACCAACCGTGGTCCGCAGCCACTCGACTACATCTCGTCCCTCTCGAGCCCCATCTGATCTCCCGCATCGGACACGCAGTGTGGCGGTTCGATCCTCAAATACGTCCCAGCCTCCGACGCCAACTAACCTGTCACATTCGAAAACTCCTTCCCAGGACCGACGTCCTCCCTCAAATCATACTGCCCTTGAGGGTGCAGCCCGGCGCGAATTCGAGGCATCCAATGTCGCGCGCATGCCTTCTCGTCGGGAAACGTCATCGGACCGATCTCAGGAACGCCCCTCGACAGCTCGAACTGAAACTTCCCGAAGGCACCAAAGAAATCTCTCATCGCAAAGCCGTCATCGAGACAGTGTTGATATGACACCGAGCTCGGCTTCACAGCAGCCGCCGCAGCATGCGACCGCAACAAGTGCCCCCGCAGCCGCAGCCACCCCTCGGCGACGGACTACGATCACGACGCCGACGGGTCAGTGGGCTCTAGGCAAAACAATAGGAGCCGGAAGTATGGGAAAAGTCAAACTAGCGAAAAATACAGAGACTGGAGAACAGGTGCGAATATTCAACTCTTTGTTTCTTAGAATTATCGACACAGTACTGACTACGGTCGCAGGTTGCCATTAAAATTGTGCCACGACTCTCGACCGAGGAACATCGCACTAGTCGGGAGACGGAGAGAGCCGATCGCTCAAAGGAGATTCGGACGGCTCGAGAAGCTGCCATCGTCAGCCTAGTGAACCATCCGTATATCTGCGGCATGCGGGACGTCGTTCGAACATCATACCATTGGTATATGCTGTTCGAATATGTCAATGGTGGTCAAATGCTGGATTACATTATCTCCCACGGCAAGCTGAAAGAAAAACAGGCCCGCAAGTTCGCACGACAGATCGCCAGTGCATTGGATTACTGCCACCGCAACAGCATCGTACATCGCGATCTGAAGATCGAGAACATCCTTATCAGCAAGACTGGTGATATCAAAATCATCGATTTTGGTCTCAGCAACTTGTTCTCCCCAAGAAGCCTCTTGAAGACATTCTGCGGTAGTCTGTATTTCGCTGCTCCGGAGTTGCTTCAGGCCAGACAATATACGGGACCCGAAGTTGATGTTTGGAGCTTTGGAATCGTCCTTTATGTCTTGGTTTGTGGAAAGGTACCTTTCGATGACCAGAGCATGCCTCAGTTGCATGCCAAAATCAAGAAAGGCGTGGTGGAGTACCCACCGGGTCTCACTGCTGGTAAGTCAGCCTTAAAAAGATGCTTTCTTTGATTCCATTGCTGATTAGGCTTCGCAGAATGCCGCCACATTATCTCCCGCATGCTGGTAACTGACCCCAAGCAGCGTGCCGGCTTGGCCGAGATCATGAGCCATCCCTGGATGAACAAGGGTTTCAGTAACCCTCCAGAGAACCACCTTCCTCATCGTGAGCCTTTACAGCTACCTCTGGATCAAGAGGTCGTTGAAAAGATGACTGGTTTCGACTTCGGGCCTCCGGAGTACATTACCGCTCAGTTGACTAAAGTATTGGAGTCTGAAGATTACCACCATGCTATCCGGTTGTACTTGCGCGAACAACATCAGCCTGTTTCCAATCACCCAGAGCGCAAACGAGGAGTATTCGATTTCTACAAACGACGAAACTCTGCGGCCAGTCGTGATACCCTTTCCGCGCCTTCGGCCGAGGCGGTGCAACTGGGGAACGACCCTTTAAATGCCTACAGTCCGTTGGTATCCACATATCATCTAGTCAAAGAAAAGCTTGACCGGGAGCGGTCCGAAGCACGGCCTGGTGCCCTTGGTCTGCGTCAAACCCCCAGTGAAGTCCACATGCCTGAGCTTCGGCCCCCGGAAGCCGCCCACACCAATCAGTACCAGTTGGCAGGAGACAAGGATACAGGACGGCGATCTCGGCCACGGGCTCGCACTCATGGCGAGGACGAAGTCACTGAAGGAATGAAAATACTTCATTCTTCTTCGCCCTCTGCGCACGTCCCAGCCCCACAGGCCGACACACCCGCCAAGAAAGAAAGCACTGCTGCTGGAATCTTGAGGCGATTCAGCACTCGCAGGACCAAAGATCGCAGCCGCGATGTGGATCGCGAACGCATCAGTACCCCCAACACACCCACACTCAACGTTCAACCTCCTGCAGATTCAGCGTCTCCGATGCACCGTGGCTTCAGTGTAAGGAGAACCCGACGGGCGGAGCCATCTCCAGGCGAGACGTCTTCGAATGACAGCCGGCCGCAGCAGGATCTTCTAGCGGCGCCGGGATCGCGGTCCAACAAATTCCTGGAAAGATCTACCAGTGTCAATTCTGCAGACTACCGAGCTCGGAGAGCCACACGGAGAAGTGATGCCGATGGCTTGGACGTTACTGCAGACCGTCAACCGCCCTCTACCAGTGACTCTGATCAGGTTGTTCCGAACGACCAGAAAGATCCGGCCAGCGTGAGGGCTGGTGGACGCACCCACACGGCGCGCACCATGTCCCTGGGACACGCCCGGCGAGAAAGTATTCAGGCACGCCGGGCCCGACGAGAGGCTACCCGAGAGGCCAACGTACCCGAAGAGACCGATGCAGACATCTCCGGCGCAGGGACAGCGCTAGAGAGCGCCAACGAGGGAGAAGATCTGTCCAAACCAGTGTATCTGAAGGGTCTTTTCAGTGTTTCCACCACCAGCAGCAAACCTTTGCCAGTCATTCGGGCTGACATTATTCGGGTCTTGAGGCAGCTCTCGGTTGACTACGTCGAGATTAAGGGTGGGTTTAGCTGTCGCCACGCCCCCAGCATCGAACTCGACAAGGTGGTTGATGTTGCCCCTCCCAGTCCAGAACGGCAGGGGCAAGTATCAGGGCACCGCCGTCGTATCAGCTTTGGCGGCCTCCTCAACCACGATGAAAGCCGAGACGACAGCCGCACTGGGTCCTCCAAACTTCGTCGAGCTCAAGCTGCGCCGGATCGCAGTTTCACTACAAACTCGGACGCCTCAGATGAATATGTTGCACGGGAACAGGGTGGTCCGGTCGGCGAGCGTGTCGTTGGCGAAACCACCACCCGTGTACAAAGCGACACTGGAGAGAACCTCGTCCTGAGATTCGAAATCCTGATCGTGAAGGTGCCCCTGTTCTCCCTACATGGTATTCAGTTCAAGAAGGTATCAGGCGGCATGTGGCAGTATCGAGAGATGGCGAAGAAGATTCTCGATGCATTGAAACTGTGACCTGTCCCATTTGACATAGAATCCTTCACCAAGGAGCGCATTCCATGACAAGACCTCTTCCTTTGTCTTTCGTGGCACACAGTGGCGATTTGTTTTGAGTTACATCTATCCACGACGCATCCGCACGCACGAGCATTCATCATTTTGCCCCGTTATCATTGCATGTCCATTGCTATCTTTGCTTTCCTCTCATATTTCATACAGGGGTCATTTATCTTCATTAGCCCGTCATTTTCTCTTTTCGTCCTGAACCTAAGTACTGCTCACCTATTTCAATACCTATTGACCTAGCTAGACTTGCTGTGGTCTTCATGGTGTATATTAGAATTGAGTGAAGACGTTTTTGGTTGCTAGCGTTTTTGGTTGCTAGCGTTTTTGCTTTAGCTTTTGCTTTGCAGCCCGTGTCATCTATTGGCGGTTGTGGCCTAGGGATATGGTGTTGTACCTTTCGTTGGACAGTTGATTATGAACTTTATGTGCCTACAAAATAAAATGATTGCGGCAATTTTCCGTAGGATTGCGTTCTGTGTTCGAAACTGCCGCGTACTACGCAAATAAGTTCGAGTCCAATTGTTTTTGAACCAAGCACGTCAGCTTGCTTCCTCCATGTCCCTGCTGTTGGACAACCCACTTGAGCCTGCGCCTATCCATGGTCGCTTGCTAACGACCCAACCCTATCTTGACATCGGCCTCGGCCTCGTGGATTGTACAACCAAAGAGCATGCACTGGTTAACGTTAGATCGAACGTGTATACAGAGTCCGGTGGGCGAGCCAACAACGTCAAATATTGTTTGAAGATCCCAGACTCATTCTACGAAGGGGATAGACAGGTTACAGCACCTTACATTCCGGGCTAGGGCTCGAAATCAAACTCGGGCATAGTGTCTACGGTTTCTAGCGTGCATATCGCCATCTGTATTCATGTAGACGCAAGCCTATGGTATATATTCAATAAAGGAAAAAGAGAATATACATGGACCATACATGAACCAATGCGATGGTCCGTTGATAATACTCGTAGAACTGTGGAACTAAAGGCTACGAGTGTAGCACCATCCGCTGTTGTGGCACGGAGGCCCCGGGCTCGGGGCCCAGGCCCCAGGGTCTAGGAGTGCTGCTGTGTAACCCCTAGCCGCCTGCACCCGCACCGCCAAACTGGGGAGCAGTCGGGGCCGTGCGTGCGCCCGCCCTATCGAATTAGCCAGTTGGCGGGAGTAACGCAAACACTTCCCCCGGGTAACTAAAGCAGCCAAATCTTCTGATACCTACAAACTAAGTAAATAAGCCAGGAACAAAACTACAAATATAGCTTCTCTATAGACAAACTGAGCCATTATCTCTTTGGGGGATCAAAGGAATTCATTTTGTATTGGGGCCCGCCGCCCCATGCAAAGACTTCTCCAACTCCGGTCTCCACCAACACAAAACAAGGAACGGCCTTTCTTGGGGAGGGCCTAGAACCAAATGCCCCTAAAAGCTGACCGGATTCACTGGAATCCCTTCCGTCCACGGGTAGATGTGTGGTTACGAAGACATTGATAGTGTCAGGTGATGTCGTAGAGGCGATCACGTGATAGCCGTTATACTTTGCTTTTTCCCAACTACGTTATCCTTAGGGTGAAATTATGCTATACTAAAAGCCTGACCTAGGAATCGGGGCTAGGAATCGGCAGCTAGGAGTCGTGACTCGTGAGCCAAGAGTCGTGAGCTGGGAATCCGGAGTTAGAAATTAGGATGCAAATTTCTATATAATCCGACCTGTTTATAATATCGGCTAGAGGATTCTAGATAACTATACTAACAATTCTTTATAAAATAGGCGAGCTCCGATGCTGAGTCATCCACATGTGGAGCCATGGGTTGGATGAAGCGAGGTCCGTCCGCATCTGGGCATGGCCTGATATTGATGCCAAGACTTTGCAACAGCCATTGCCCTTGAGACTTCGAGGCCCTCTATACGCCGATCCCAACGTCAAGACTGGTTGATAAATATATCAATCGATAGCGGGCACCGAGTGCTATAGTCTGGAACTTTCTTTTCCTGTGCTTTTGTGCTCTCTTTAGGCCTAGAAGCTATCGGGTGGTTGGGAATCGATTTAAGGCCCATAACTTTCCCGGGCACTGTTCCGGCACTTCCCAACGACTCACTTTTAATCACCAACCAGCGGCCACTAACCAGAATACCTCTATCAGGCCTCAACGCTGCGAACTCGAAACTTTCAAGACAAAATTAATTCATTCTACAGTGGAAATTGTAATTATCATAGAAATAAAGATATAGACATGTTCTTCCTTTGAATTGAGGCGACAATGAAGCCTAACACTAAGGGGTAGGGTGAATAAAGGAAGATGCTGAGTCAGCACCTGTCACGGGCCCCACCACGAGATCTTCCCGTTCTCGTTTTCTCAACCTCACCTCTTCACCATATTGAGTCCTCGATCTTCTACCACGTCCCCCATCAGCCACGAACGTCAGATATTCTTCTAGTATCTTTTAGTTTTACCGGCGGTTCTTGAAGATACTGTCTCTCGCTTTTTTCTTCGTCTCCCGACGTTGTTTTCTCCTCTCACCCCTTTAACTCGCTCTTTAGACTAGGATCCTCGACTCGTCGATACTCCGAGGATCTTAACAGCCTCTTTTTCCTTATTCTCCTCGTCTATCACCTCTACCGTCGTAGAAGGGATTGTAAGTCGAGACTCGACGCGCTTTCGCACGCGCTCTGAAGCCCATCCGCTAACACACTAACGCGCTGCTTAGAATGGCGGGACGCGTCCCCCTTGGTTCGGGGGTTAACCAGAACCGAGTGTTCATTGATTTAACTGATGAGACCGGACCAGGGGATTCTGAGATGGTAAGTGCTTGTACCCGTTCACCTCTTCCAAAGCCCACATTTGCCCTGGCCCCTTATGGCCCCACTATGCTGTTCTTTGTTCTTTCTTTGGGCCAATTTTTTTCCTTTTCTCCAGCCGACTGCTTACCTAAATATTGATCTGGTAATCCGATAGATTCTACGTACACAACCTGCTTACCAGATTGTTTACTAAATTTTGCTTATAGCCAAAGGACTTGGGCAAACTTCCCTTTGTGGCAGCGTTAGCCTATCGGTCACCAACCGTGCCACTAAAGAGGAAAAGCTTGGATGTATCCGAGGATACCTCGGATTCTTCATCCGATGTTCACAAGTTTCCACGGCGTGCACGCCTGCCGCATGCCCACCCTGACCCATCCACACCAAGTCCACCACCAAGGCCATCTCAGATCAGTGTTGTAATCCCATCACCGACATCAAAACAAAAGCGGGATATTGCGATCGCTCAGAATGTCTCTGATGTGAATGGAATGGATATTAATATCTTCCCTACAACTGACGAAGAGGAAAGAGTCGCCAAAGCCGCATACCCTACTACCCAGGGTCGTCTTGACCGTCGTTCTATCCCATTGTCATTCAAATCAAAATCAGCTCTCAACGTTCTCAACTTACCATCGCCCTCGGAAACAAACCACCGTTCAAAACTCCGTCAAACTCTTGACGAGAAACTGAAACGTATCAATGGGCCTACGGTCATTCCGACAGTTGACTCCCCAAAGCGTCTTGCCAAACTAGCCGATAACTTCGAGTTCGTCAACAGTTATCAGTACCGTGCGGGTGTGGAACGGATTCCCGATGACTCTGATTTCAATATCGGCTGTGCATGCAGTGCCACTAATGGCTGCGATCGGTTCGAATGTGATTGCCTCAGTAAGGAAGAAGATTCCGAAGATCGGATCGTCCCTTATCAGATCTCTGAGAGCAACCCTAAATTGATTGTCGCCACCAAAAGTTTCCTTAACCGTAAGGCGATTATCTATGAATGCAACTCCCGTTGTGGCTGCGGCGGACAAAGATGTTGGAATCATGTCGTGCAGAAAGGAAGGACTGTCAGACTGGAGATCTTTGACACTGGGGCTCGGGGCTTCGGTTTGTCTCACTTCATCCTCTGTTTCCTATCTATATATACTGATTATGATATTTATTAGGTCTTCGGTCCCCCGACTTGATTCACGGCGGGCAATTTATCGACCTTTACCTCGGTGAGGTAATTACAAAGGCTGAAGCCGACGAGCGTGAGAACCTCACCGATGGTTCGCATACACAATCATACCTTTTCTCTTTGGACTGGTATGTGAAGGATGACGATGACGAAGAAGAGAATATGAAAGTCGTCGACGGCCGCAAGTTTGGCTCGCCAACTCGGTTTATGAACCACTCATGCAATCCCAATTGCAAGATCGTACCTGTTTGCACCACGAATCATGTCGACCAATATCTTTACAACCTCGCCTTTTTCGCGTACCGCGACATTTCCCCTGGCACTGAGCTGACTTTCGACTATAATCAGGGCGAGGAGAACACAACTCCTCAAAAGATTGACCCTGAGGCTGTCCAGTGCCTTTGTGGTGAAACTAAGTGCCGTGGACAGTTATGGCCAAACAAGCGCAAGGGCCAAGGATCTAAGCCTTAATAGGCTTTTCCTTTGTGCCAACCGTGCCGTGGCCGCCCTTCCTGCCAACCGGCTAATATTCTCGCATCTTTTTCTTTTTGCGATTTTTCATACCTCTATCATGTGTGATTAGCGACTTGGTGTTTTTGCACAATCATGACCATAACGCAAGTGCATAACTGCATAACCTACCTCTCTTTCAGGCATATCTAGGCCTACCGGCGTCCTGATTTCTTTCATATTTGGTATCTTTGTTTGCCTTTGCCATATGTTAGATTCACAATACCCTGACGAGAATTATGTATGATTAACAACAAACAAAGCCTATTTTCAAAAGTGAGCGTTCAATCAAATCTAGAAGCATCATCCGAGATGAAAACTTGATAGACTCGACTAATATGACTATCACGTCAAAGCCTCAATTTGGTCCTAGGAGGATAAATTCTAATCTAAGAGCAGAAGGGTTAATAGTTAAAGAATATCTTAAGAAATATCACTTAAGATAGGATAAAAGAAAAAGTTAACTTACCTAGGAGCTAGGTATGGTTGCTAATAGACAGGGATAATATTAATAGTAATATTGTAGTTAGGACTACGAAAACTATAGCTGGATATATTTCGGTAGGTTGACCGTGACCATACAATTATGCTGACTCCTTGCCAACTGACGAATAACATACTATCTGAAGTATACAAAGTTCTAGCTGTTGATTGCTTCAAATAGATGACCACCTAGGTGGTGTATATAAACATGGTTCTAAGATAAGGTTTTATATAGGCTAAGTAGTAAGCTTGGAAGGTTATCCCGAGGTCGAACCTTGGAATGTAACTTAAAAGCCTTGAACCCGGGGGATCCGGGGCTTGCTTCAAGGTTAGGTATGTCCGTGCAACAAATATATAGGCCCTATTTCCATCAGTATTTATCTAGTTCATTTTCTCTTTGAAAGTGAAAGAAGTAGGGTATTCGTTGAATATTATTGATCAACACTCTCCACTCCAAATTACTCGCATTTTCTTAATACCCAGGCGTTGCCCCAACTCCACTCCAAAGCACTCAAAAACTAGATCATAGGCCTTCCTTCGCATGTGTCAAATCGGCATACGAAAACCCTAGGCTTCCCGAGATAATGAGCCCAGAAAGGTACTGATACCACGCCCCCACTGGAAGAAACAACAACATTACAACGGGCCCCAGATTGGCCGTGAGGAAAGCATAGCTCAAAAGGTATACCTTAAGCATATGCGAGCGGATTGGCTCGACCCCATCAACTAAGAGATATACACCACCCACCCATCCCACGACAAGGAGATATTTGACAATAGGCCTGAGCAATTGTTCCAGACCGGACCGAGAGCCCCGCGGCAGCTCCAGATTGTCGAGGGCCAAGGGTTTATGGTAGCCCGTCTTGTAGATTTCCTCCACAGCACTAGACAGTTTGTGGCTGCAGTTGAGGAGGATAGTGGTTTGTTCCGTTATATAATAATGATGGAAATTCTGATATTCCCGTATGGCTAAAAGTTCTTGACTTAGAAGGCTCTCAATGGACTTTGTGATAGCCACGGCCTAGACTGATAGGGATTGCTTCCTCTAAATGCCCGGTGTCTCCGGTATGGCTTAGTCGATACAAGCTAGTCAAGCGAGTGTAACGCTGGCAAAAGTACTAACCATGCATAGATAAAGCCAAAGGCGATTGTCTTCCCTAAAGTTCTTTCCAACACTATAACCGGATCAAGACAATAGATTCAAGAATCCTCTGCTTTCAACGGCTTCCAGGCGCATGCAGTACTCTAAGTTTCTTTGCCTATCTTTTGGCCTCGTATTTAACTCTTTATTCTTTTGTACCCCTAAGATGTAGAGAGAAAATAGAGGCAATATGGTGCAACTATAGCAGCTGGGAGGGTCCAGCGGGCTTACCCGCTAGCCCAAGCCCTCCTTTGAGACTCTAGATACAAGACAAATAAAACGAATATTGAGGAAGTAGTAGGTATGCATTTTCTTGAAAAAGAAACTTCTAGGGTACTTATCCTTTCTTTCGAAGTGTAACTGCATGGAGCAGGGTACTGAGGAAGAGGACGAGACCAATATAGGAAGGCATAAACGGTATTAGGCAAGTACATGGACAGAAAACAATATTTCATTTGGGATATTTCCGCAAGGGCTCAAATGAAAGAAAGAAGACACGACATAGTATTTCCAATACCCAGCCACTATACAATATTTCCCTGTATATCTCACATTCTCTTTCCGAAAGCAGAAAATCCAACTTTTAACCACAAGAAAAGTACAGAATTAAAACGAATAGAGTATCACAGCATGAGCAAGAAAAAAAAAGCAAAAAGAGAACGAGTGTGCCAAAGAGAAAAAAAAAGGAAGAGTCAAGCCTAAGCCCGCCCCTCCATAACCTCAAAGATGCCGCCCATCACCAAGTTAGGCTTCACCTCCCCAATCAGATCCACCGGCCGAGGTTCCATCAGCCCCAACCCCTGTCTCTCAATAGCGTCCCCATCACATCGCGACCGCTCTTCGCTCAGCGCCATATCAATCTTAGACGGTCGTCGACGGACAATCATCGAGCGGCCGCTTAAAACAGCGCAGGGGAGCACGCTAACGCCGGCACTGTGGGTATCGGAGGCCGGACGCGGGCGGGTTGATGTATTTCCGTTACTTGTTTTTCTGACACTGTCGGGTTGCCCCTGGAATGTGTGGGCTTTGGAGGGGTGGAAGGATAAGCTGAAGAGGTGGTGTGGAGAGCTTTGAGGCAAGTGGGTGGAAGTTGGGGAGGAGGGTGGTGAGGTGGTTGTTGAGCTTGCGGTTGAGGTGTCGCTGCCTGGTTTTGGGCTTCTAGAGCGGAAAGATGTGCTCAAAGAGAGAAACGGTGAGGTGATATGCATTGCTGTGTTGTTTTGCTGTTTCGCTGCTTTGCCTTTTGGTATGGAATGTGAGGCTTTGGAGTGGTTGGAGATGATATATCATAGTAGATTGGGATATGGGGATTGAATTTATTAGAGGATTTCATGGGGGTTTACTTGGGTTTATTAATTCTATAACCGGGTTGACTGCAAGGACTCTGCTGCAGGGAGAGTTAAGACAACGGTGACGCATGCGGATGAATGTTGTCGAAAACGGATACACAATGCCTTTACTTGGAGATACTCATTGTCTTTTTACTTTAGTATTATTCATACTATTCATTGAGGTATGTACTTATCCAAGGTAAATATAATTCATATAATTCATCGATGTTCGCATCTCATCGTCTTTCTGTCCAAGTTCCTCTTTCGGCAATAGTAACTAGTTCGACCCACTTGATTCACCTTCATGCAGTCCCCTATAGTTTAAATGATCATCTCTTTTAACAATAATCGTCTATCCAAGTCTATATGGAATAGTATTGAAATGGAATCCCACGCTATGCAAAATGCTCCTCTAAGGAGAATATACAGCACAAAACCCTGGGCCAAACAGAAATGAAAATCCCAGTCTATTTGAGGGGACCGGGGGAATGCTAAAGAAAGAAAGAAAGAAATATGCACAGCATTTATTCAGAAGTGCGATCGCCCGATCGTCGCTGCGTGAAGCTTCGTCGGATACTCTCACCCCAGGCGGAGTTGTCTAACGAATGCATGACGTCCTGTACATTCATGCTACTGTTCTGACGCGAAGTATCGCTAACCGAAGACACCTCATGCGTTTCGCCAGTATCGAACGAAGTGCGCTCCCCATACATTTGACGCGGCGTAATCGAGGGACTGATACTCGACCACTCCCTCGTAGGTGTGCTAGAGCCAGATACTGACCCGCTCAAATTGGTATTGATGCGAGGCAGAGCATTGCGGTTTCCAGTTGGGCTGGACTCCGCTCGTCTGTGGTGCGAGACCGGGGAGAGCATAGGGGGGAAGTTTCCATCCAACTCGGGTTGTGTCTGGGGTGTCATCGCGCCGGAACCTGGCTGGTCGTGCTCCTCCGGGTCGTCGACTGGATCGTCGACAAAGATCTCCGGAACAGTGAACGTTGGGACAATGCTCATCCGGCCGCTCTTCTTGCGGTCAATCTGGCGGCGGAATTGGCGTGACCAGTATAGGGTATCAAAGAAACCGACGACGGTGTTTCGACGGACAGCCTCTTCAACCCGCTGCAGCCGGGCGCGACGACGTAGGAACTCTTCGAGGCGCAGACTCTTGCTATCACTAATCACATTGTAATGTGCGAGGATCATCAAACACTGATGGAAGGAGATGCCGCGGTCGGGGTCTGCTGACACAAGGATCTCTTCGTAGAAGGTGTTCAATCGTTTGCGCCGCTCTCGAATGCTTTGGACTGGAATCCGCGATATGATCCGAGAAAGCTCGGCGATATCCACACCAGAGAAGATGCGAGAGTTCGGCCGCATTGAATGTCGTGGCTCAACCAGCGAGACCATCGAATTTCTTGCGAAAGAGCCGATCGAGTTTCTGTGAGGATCGATCCGGCATTTTTCCAATATACTTCCAACCGTGAACTCTCCCTCGTAGATTCGCATTGCAAAGACACCGGAGAGCTCACCGAGTAGTCGAGGGAACTGCTCCATCGATACGAAGCCGGTCCCATCTGGATCATACGTGGCCCATGCCTGCTTGAACCGGCGGATCTCTTCACGACTGATCGCGTACAGTCCGCTGCTCCGCTGGTAGACATAGGAGAAACTTTCGAAAATCAATGAAACGAACAGCGAGACGAAGATGTACATGCTGATCAAGTTCCATGCAATGAACAGAGTTCGGGCCCACGGCGCGCTTCCACAGTCGTCGTCAAGGAAGTTGTCGTTCTGCGTGCACAAGGGCGGAGTCATAGTAGCGAAGTCCTCCATGAATTCATTCCACCCTTCTCCGCAACTTGCTCGGAACAGCAGGATCAGTGATTTGGGCACATCGCGGAAATTCTGGTTGTGATCCTCATTTTCGCCGAACTTGGTAAGGCCGAACGCCTGGTTCATCGCAATGCCAAACACCAAAAACAGAACGAACCAGGTAGCTAGAAGATTTCCAATCACGGACAGACTAGCTGCAGCTGTCTTAAAGAGCTGATCAAGCTGGTTGTTCCTTGGAATAAGCAGCAGAGAAACAGACACGAGGAAAAGCTTGTTGAGCTCCACCACGGCATGATTCTTTTCACGGTATGCAATGTCAAGGACGGAGGTGACGAAAGCGCCTGGGACGGCGATGAGAGAGTACAGATCCCATGAACTTCGGCTAAACCGATGCCACCCAAGACCAATCAGTCGAATCAAGACATTCGCAACGTAGACAAGCATGAATGCCAAGAATATAATAGCTAGATTGACCAATCAGTAACGTGCAACATTTCGAATCAAGGCAACAGAAACTTACATCGAACGGTCTCCCACCAGGCGGGTTCGGGATAGTATTCCACCACAAGTAATAGCAGGTGAACTACAAGGACGCAAGTCACGAACCACGCCCACCGGCCATGCTTCTTAACTGAAATTCGATAACACCACAGCCGCAACTTCCTGCTCTTGTCATCAAAGGATCGTTTCGAGGGTGATATCTGTCGGAGAAGTTTCCGCAATTCCAACCAGGAACGTTGCTCGGCAGTCAGGAAGGCAACACCAGTTTGTTCTGTGTAATTGCGCATGAACACAGACACAAATAGTGTCAGAACAAACACGGCTCCGAGTAAATTGAACACCACGAAGAATAACCCGTTCTCTGGCGCCACTAGATCTTGCGGTTGAGTCATCTTTCCAGTGATACTCATTGCAGCTTCTTGTACGTCTACCCAACCTTCTTGGGAGACAATTTGGAACAGAATGAAGAGGGAATTGCCAAAATTATCGAAGTCATAGAAAGAGTTCCCAGCTACTCGTGGAGCGAGTACGTCCCAATTATACGGCGAGCTGGTATATTCATTGACGCAGTTGGTCAAGTTCCCAGAAAATTTACCGTCATTGCAACTAGCCATCTGCCCGTTAAACAGATTGACTCCATAGATTGCGAATGGTATGAGGAAACTCATAGAAACGGCAGCGGCAGCAATGACCTTCCATCCCCCGACAATGATGACAGAGTGAAAAGTGTCCTTGGCGCTGTCACTCACGTTCAAAAGACGCAACGCCCTCAGCGCTTTGAAGGCGCCGATAGCTCTGGAAACACTCCAGTCCTGTTTGAGCGAGCCGCCGACACTGACCCACAGCGTGATCAACACGACACCGTCAATGAATCCCCATGAACTGCGGAAAAATGCGTTCGGCGTCCAGAAGAAACCATCGGCGATCACTTTGATCGTTGCTTCAATAGTAAACACAAGGGCAAAGCCCAAGTCAGTGTAGACGAACCAGTTGCGGTCAGTACGGAAATACTGCCGCTGGTACAAGGGCGTTGTAATGCAGGCGAGGAGCACCATGGCGACAATGGCTGCATAAATGAAAGCAGAGAAGGCATACCACACTGGCTTGTATGGATCCACACCTTCAACTCGTTGGTGGCCGCGTCCTGGGCCGACAATGCGTTGACAAAATTTCCGAACGAAATTATCCGGCGAGAAAAGAAACAGTGACTTGTTATAGTTGGGGTGCTTGACGAGGTATGCTCGCTGGTCCCTTTTTCTCTGCTCTGCCGCAGTCACAACTTCTCTTGCCATGGTTCTCGGATCCAACTCCTCGTAAGCACGTGAAAATTTCAGCTTCGAGTAAAAAGGATTTGGTTCTCTCCGCATAACGAGCGTGCTGGCTTTCGTCCATAGAAGTGAGATCCAGCCTGGTTGAATGGTCTCTTGAGTCGCGCCTTCTGGCATTGTACTCGCCCTTCGTGAGTCCTTCGGTCTTTCTCGTTCTTGCTGCCTGGTTTCTTCTTCATCAAGGAACTCTTGCACCACAGCGTCTTTCAGTAACATTTCCAACGCTGCAGGACCATGGTCGAGTGGATCCTTGTACCGGGCTGAATCTCGACCGATACGAAGGATTTTCGAGAGCGCTAGGTTTCCTTGGGGTGCTCCATGGACTTGTTTCTGTTCCAAAAACGCCCTGACCTGGTGCATTCGTTTTTCGTCTTCTGAAACATCAAAGCTTTCCTGAATGACCGCAATGAACATGTTTAGGATGATGAAGTTGGACACAATGAACCAAAGAATGATGAATGCTGCCGAGATCCAGGCCGTGTTGAAGTCGGTTGTATATGTGGTTGAGTTGTAAAGAATCGTGGTCCAGTCCTCACTCGACAGAATTTGATACATTCCCAGGAATGAGTTGTATATATTTGAAAATTTGATCATGATCGGCGAGCCACCTGGGTCTTCATGTGGTATCTGGCTTCGAAAAAGCTGCGTTGCGAAAATGGCAGATAGAAAGGTCATCAAGAATAGGAAAAATATCAAGTTGAGCAGACCGACAGTATTGCGGAATACAATCATGATCAGCTTTCTGGTCACAGAGAAAGCCAGGACCACTCTGTAGACCCGAAGAATCTGGAACATGGTGAGGACTGTGTACGCACGACCTGAGTTCCTGATAGGCGGTAGCTGGATGATGCAGGTAATGATCACAAGCAAAATGTCTGTCAAGTTACGACGCCTTCGATGAAACATGCGCCAATCCGAGGCGAATCGCAAGATGATCTCAACCAGAAGAATGATAGTGACAACAGTCTCAGTAGTATCAATAAAATGGGCTCGACCGGCAGACATAGATGAGCTTCTGAGCGCTTGCACGACAAGGTCGAATATGATGAGGCAAACCCAAACCCACTCAGTTTGATCATATATACGCTTGAGAGGACTGACTTTGCGAGACATCGTATTATCTCCATCGACAGAATCAAGTTCTTGGACGGCAAAAGCGCTGCGCTTGCTCTCTTCTCGAATCACTTGGAATGAGTGTGTGATAACCGCCACCAGC